AAGTCCTGGGCCAGCGGGAGAGCCCAGCCCCGACTCTCACGGTGCTGCTGTGTGACCCTCGCAAGCTTCCTCCATTCTAACGAATGAGAGACTGGATTTGACGACTGGTCCTGCACAGCCCCTCATCCTAAGAAGGCCCCCACCTAGGGGCTGCCACAAGGCTCGGGGCAGCCTGGGGCAGGAGAAAGGCAGACAAGGGTCTCCCAAGGAGTCCAGCAGCCATTTAGCTCCCATCAAGGGCTCAGCTACACTGCCCCAGACCAGCCCACGTCCAGGTGTGCGGCCTGCAGCCCCTGGCAGCAGGTGCAGCCCTAGTTGCTGGCCCTGACGCTTGCCTAACAACGGAAAATAGAAAAAAGCGGCCTTTGGTCGTGAGACCGCACTTGCTTACGCACAGAAAGTCCTCTTCTGAGCAAAGAGCAAACTGAACCTGAGAGAGCGCCAGCTTTCTAGAGAGAGCTCTCCCTTTCTCCCCTTTGCCCCGGTCTCTGCTCCACAAAGAAACAGGCCCTGAGAAGTTCCGCCACTGACCTGCCAGAACCTTGGACCGCGGCCTCCACCTCTGCTCTGGGGGGACCAGAGGCTGGGCTCCCTGACTGCCCAGCGACTTCGAAAGCGCAGGGTAAAGGGCCCTCGCCCAGGGCCTCTCGGGAAGTAGAGCTGAGGCAGGGGCAGGGGACACACACGAAGAGGCAGGCGCTGCCCCTGCGACAGCTGGGCCATTCCACTTCCGTCTGTCCAACAGCCTTGGGTTCCGCATGAAATCTCTCTTGTACCAAAGACTTTGCTGCTGGATTTATGGTGGAAACTGCCCTCCCATTGTCGCCCTTATCAGCGCAGTCACTCACCCAGACCAGGTGCAGTGACCTGGATGGGGCAACTCGGCTGCTGAAATGCACCTGTGACCACTTGACAGGCCCAGGGCGTAGCCCGAGGGCGGCGGCGGTGGTGGCGGTGTCACCTGCCTCCTGCATTCCTCACTGCTTTGCTCCCAGCGTAGGCCAGGGCTGCGTGCGTTGGAGGTACAAGGCGAGGTAAGGACAGCGAGTCCCTGCTCAGGGCCCCCGCAGCAGAACCAGGGAACTCCTCTGGCAGGAGGCTGCGTGGGAGGGGGAACCCACGGGGCAGCAGGCGGAGCGGGGAGCAGAGAGGAAAGGAAGCCCCCTCCCCCGCCCCACACAGCCCTCCCTCCTTGGCACCCACTCACCCGCCATTCTCCACACTTCTTTCCCTCTGGGCGTCTCCGAGACCTTGATGGAATCTGGTTTCTGGGGTTTCTCAAACATGAACTCGCACGGGAATCTGCACAGAGTCTAGGCCCCTCCATGGTCGAGGGGACCTGGGAATCTGCATCTCCTCCAAGCTCCAGGCTGGGCCAGGCTGCCGGCTGGCTGAGGGCAGGTCTGGGTGCCCAGAGTAGAGCTGGGATGTCGGAGGACCCCAGTCCAGGAGTGATGGCAGCGCCATTTAGCAAAAGGTACCCAAGGGGAGGCAGCTCCTGGCACCTTGGGGGACCGCCTTACTTCTGAATCCTGGCTTAGCAAATCTGGGGCCAGCCAGCAGTGTGCCAGGGGCACCCAAAACCACAGAACCACAGCAACCATTGGGGAGTAAGATGTTTTTATGTTAGAACACGTGGTTGTTGTAAGAACGATAAAGCAAACTCTACACAAAACACTATGAAAAAACAACACTGTAGAGACATACCCAGCGTTGCCACTTGAGGCCACAGCACGGCCTGCACTTCCGAGGGAGCCAGGGGAGCCCCGCCAGGGCACATTCACACAGGAGCCAGCCTGGCCCGGCCCACCCCGTGAAGCTGGGTCCTCGGCTGAGACCTCAGAGACCTGGAGGCGGCTCCTTGGGACAGAGAAGTGGGCAGGGCCGGCCTTGGACAGGCAGGGTTTAGAAAAGCAGATGAGGCCCCCCCAAAAGGAGGAGTCAGCCTTTAAAAAAGCCCTCTGCTGGAGCCCCCAGGGAAGCAGGGGGACCTTGCCCGGGGCCCTGTGAAAAGCTCAACAGGAGGGAAGCTCTGCACCTGCTCAAGTCCCTCCAGCTCCTGGCCACGCCCCTTGCAGACACAGACCCTAGGGACCAGCCCAGGGGCTGAGGGAGCCCTGTGTTTACCGATCTGCACCAACCAGTGCAGAAGCTGAGAGAAAGCGGAGGAGGGAACAGCACACGCAGCACAAGCCCAGGCTGGCACGGAGACGCCAGCCCTCATCGGCACACACATGGAGGGAGCAAGGCCCTTGCCCCGCGTGGTCAGTGCTTCCACACGAGCCGGGTGTTTCCGGTCACCAGAGCCTGGCCCCCAGAAGGTGGACCTGCGAGAGCAGAACTTCAACTTGCTCAGAGCCGGGCAGTCTCTGAGATAGGAAGCTAAATACAAAAATGACGTCCGACCACGGGGAGGAGCAGACGGAGCACTGAGCGGCAAGGCAGAGCGGACAGCAGCAGCCTGCGCGGCGTCTGCAGGTAGTGGGATGGCGCAGGGACAGGAAAATCCCAGGGGATGCGGGAAGCAGCAGCATTGGGAGGGGCTGGGGCCAGGCTTTCCTACCGTGGAGTGCTGTCTAATTAGGTGTCACAGAGCCCATCTTTCCCCTAATCAAAGCCCGGCTGGAAAGACAAAGGAACGCAGGGCCAGCCTGGGTTCTGCTTTGTGCTGACAACTCCCACCCTTCCAGGCAGCTCTGCGGTGGAGCCACAGCGCCCCACCGTGGCTGTGGCTGGGAAGGACCGAGGCCTGGCACACGCACCAACCCCAAAGTGCATTTTCCTACCCCAAAAAGAAGCCGCGTCACTAGGTGCCTTCTGCAGCTAGAAGCTAGAAGCTGGCTGTCTCCGTTTGGCACCACGTGTGGTTACTCAGAACAATGGGAGCATGAGTGTAAACAACACCTTCCTCTCAGCAAAACAAGGGCCCGAGAGGGGCCACGCTGATCAGGAGCGGTTGTTACGGGCCTCTCCCTGCCCTCCCAGCCCCCTCCCTCGGGGCCCTGAACCCCGCTCCAAATGGCCACCTGGGGCCCGACTCTGGGGTGCACCATGCGCCCAGGCACTCCAGGACGCTGACTCCCAGCTCTGCTTCTGCAGCGGCTCCCCGAGACCTGGGCACCTTTCCTCCATGTGGACCCCCGCCCCACCACGCTGGTCTCACGACCCCAACACCCCCACCCCACCCCGGGAAGAGTCTGCGCACTGCAGGCAGAGCCCTCAGGGCTGCCTCCCGCAGGCTGTTCAGGTGTACTCCCAGTCAATCAGCTCTACCTCCTTTCTGGAGCAGCACCCACAGACAGGCATCTGTCCCCCGCGGACCCAGGCCTCCAGTGGATGGCTGAGACACTCCTGTCCCACGGGGGAGGAGGGCCCCCAGGTGTGGGCGGGCCCCGGCTCCGCAGGACGATGGAGCCATGAGGACAGCCGACCGCTACCGGTCATGTCCACTTTGGAATTTTCACAGGAGCCCTAAGCTGCAGGTGCTGCCAGGACCCCGGCCTCACTGAGGAAAGCTGAAGGGAAGAGGAGCAGGCTGGGTACAAGGCTGCGCAGGCAGAGCCGGGATTCCAGCCCCGCCAGCCCGGCTCCAGGTCCCAGGTTCCCACATGGCGCCCATCCTGCACCAGCATCCTCAGCTGTTGGGTCTCCAGCAGGGCACTGGCCTCTGTGGGCTTCAGGGCCTTTGCTCTGTGAAATGGGACATAACAGCAGCTTGCAGGGCAGGGACCGATGAGACTTGGTCTGCGTGGTACAGAGCACAGCGCTCAGCATGCAGTAGGTACTCAGTTCCAGGCTGGCGCTGCGGCGCAGCCGATTAAGCCACTGTTTGAGACGCCAGCATCCCGTATCAGAGGGCTGGTTCGAATCCCAGTTACTCTGCTCTGATCCAGTTTCCCGCTAACGTGCCTGGGGAGACAGCAGATGATGGCCCAAGTGCTTGGGTCCCTGCCACCCAACGTGGGAGACCAGTTCCTGGTTCCTGGCTTTGACCTGGGCTGACCCCTGCCTTTGTGGCTATTTGGGAAATGAACCAGTGGATGGAAGATCTCTCTCTCCCTCTCTCTGTCACTCTTTCAAATAAATAAAATAAATCTTAAAAACAGATATTAGCCTCATTTTTGTTCAAGCCAAGAAGAAAAAAGTGAGGGTGCTGGGGTGGCCCTTAGAGAGCCTATTCCCTTCTGATTGCCAGGCCCTGCCCAAGCCTCTGAGCCCGGTCCACGGGCAGGCCCTGGGAGCACATGTGGCCCCACAGGCCCTTCTCGCAGCCTTGGCCCTGGACCCCGCCCTGCTGCAGGGCCACCCACGGAGCAGGGGCTCAGGAGCAGCCGCTGACCGGCTGAGGGCAGCTGGAGGGCTGGGAGAGGGAAGGGACAAGGAGGCGAGGGAAGCAGGACACCGCCTGGAAGGGATCTGCAAGACCTCGGCTGGCCAGTCAGGGGGTGTGTGCACGCCTGCGTGGATGTGTGCGGGTGCACGCGTGTGTGGAGCTGTGTGTACAGTAAGGGGGCACAGCCCACTGGCCAGGGCAGCCCAGCTCACTGCCTCCTGGCAGCATATGCAGTCAGCAGCGATGGGCCACGGGTCTCCTTCACCCACAAGACTCACAGGGCCCTCCACCTGCCCTGTGGCGAGGCAGGGCCAGGAGCAATTTGGCAGCTTCATAGCCACAAGTCAGCCGGCTGCAGGAGACCCAGGCTTCCCAGTGTAGCAGCCTGAGCCGCTGAGCTGTCAGCGCCCTGGTGTGGAACACTCAGTAACCAGGGAGGAGCACGCAACTCCTGAGCCCAGGCCTGAGACCCAGCACTGCTGGGGGCATGCAGAGAGCCAGTCTCCACAGCAGGCCAGGCCAAGGTCGTGACCTTGACCCTGTGAGCAGGTGGCCCAGAAGGCAAAGGAATTCTCTGTCTCCCTGGGGGAGGGAGGGAGGGCAGGCCTGTCTCCAGAAAGCTGGAATGAGGTCAGGAGGGGGGTCCTGCAGACGAGGGGAGACTTACCGCAGGATGCCTAGGGGATCCAGTGCCTCCTCCTCTTCCTCCTCCTCCTCGTCCAAGGCCTTCTCCGGCTCCTCGCCCTTCAGGCCCAGGATGGGTGGACCCTCAGCTGCCACTTGCTCCTGCTGCTCAAAGAAGTCAAAAGCCTCCTCGTGGTCCCCGGCCTGGCTGTCGGGGTCATGGTCAGAGGGCTCTCTGCTGCTGAGACCCGCAGCCCCTGGCGATCTGGTGCCTGCAGAGGAAGACAGACAGCAGCCTTGATACCCACCCAGGGGCAAAGGAGGCGCCTGGCCACACCGCACCCTCCCGTGCTGGGGTCTACAGCCCGGGTCCCCTGCAGCTGCCTAGGACCGCAGTCTGCCTGAGCCAGGATAGTGGGTGCAAGTGGGCAGGAGGCAACAACCATTCTGTGTGTGTGTTGGGGGAGGCAGGCAGGTATCTGCTACTGGCCCCCGAGGGCAGCAGGGATACCTGGGCAGAGCAGTCACGAGTGGGAGCAGCAGAACAAGAAAGGGGCAGAGACCCCTGAAACTCTGGGGCCCGGAGCCTGCACGCACTGTGGGGACAGCCAAGGGCACAGCCACTGGGCAACTCCAACAGGCCGACACACTTGACAACCGTGACGGTTGTGGGGCACAGCAGGGGGGCTCTACCAGACCAGCCACAGTGGAGACCCGCTCTGAGAGTCTGCGTGGCTAGACCAGGAAGGGACAAGTGCAGAGGGAGCGCAGGGAAGGTTCCAGAACAAAGTGTGGTCACTCTGTGGCCAAGTGGCTTAAATCGGCACTTCCTGCATGGTCCACAGCCAGGTGGCCACGGTGAGGTCAGCACGCAGCAGCCTCGCACCGCCACACACTCTGAGCCCCTGCGTGTCTGTGAAGTAGCCTTCTGTGGGAGGCTGGGAACGCCCAGAGAGCCTGAGAAGCAGGGTTGAGACTTCTTGTTCGTCTCCCTGCGCAGACTGGGCAGTGTGTCTTTCAAAGTGTCCACTTTTTTTTTCTTAAAAAAAAAAAAAACACTCTGTAGGTAAAGAGCTTAGGACCTGTGTGGCTCGCAGGCCCGTGACACTGTAGGTCCCTTGGCCACTGTGCAAACACCACGGACAGTTCACAAACCACAAAGCTGTGTGTGAGAGGGTAAGGAGGACCCCCAGGACAGAGCAGCTATGGACGGCGGACCCCCATCCCCCAACCTGCTCTCTCCAGAACAGAAGGGGTCGTCGGGACTCCGTGAACATTTCTTTTTTTTTTTCTTTTTTTTTTTTACAGGCAGAGTGGACAGTGAGAGAGAGAGACAGAGAGAAAGGTCTTCCTTTGCCGTTGGTTCACCCTCCAATGGCCACCGTGGCCGCCATGCTGCAGCCAGCGCACCGCGCTGATCCGATGGCAGGAGCCAGGTACTTATCCTGGTCTCCCATGGGGTGCAGGGCCCAAGCACTTGGGCCATCCTCCACTGCACTCCCTGGCCACAGCAGAAAGCTGGCCTGGAAGAGGGGCAACCGGGACAGAATCCGGCGCCCCGACTGGGACTGGAACCCGGTGTGCCGGCGCCGCAAGGCGGAGGATTAGCCTAGTGAGCCGCGGCGCCGGACCTCCGTGAACATTTCTTCCAGCTGTGGATGGGCTCATGTCACCATCCACGCAGCCCAGGGGCGGGCGGGGAGGAAGGGCTGTGGTCTTGGAGCCGCAGCAGCAGGAAAGACCCGTGTGAGGGGCACAGGTGTGGAGGAAAGGTATCTGGGCTCTGCGGCCCTGTCCTGCTGGCCAGGCCTCCCATGCATTCGCTGGTTTTGCTTTTATTCCTGGCCCCTCACTTTTTACAAATTGCTACATGGATCTGGCATTGTGATACAGTGGGTTAAGCCACTGCTGCGATGCTGACATCCGATATCAGAGTGTTGGTTCAAGCCTTGGATGCTCTGCTTCCGATGCAGCTCCTTGCTAATGTGCCTGGGAGAGCAAGGGAAGATAGCTCTATCGCTCGGGGCCCTGCCACCCAAATTGGGAGTTCCAGCCCAGGCTGTTGTGCACGTTTGGAGAGTGAATCAGAAGATGCAAGCTCTCCCTGTCTCTTTCTCTCTACTTTTCAAATAAATAGTCTTTAAAAAAAAGAGAAAAATACGGGCCAGAGCGGTGGCACAGCGGGTAAAACCACCGCCTGCAGCGCCGGCACCCCATATGAGTGTGGTTCAAGTCCTGGCTGCTCCACTTCTGATCCAGCTCTCTGCTGTGGCCTGGGAAAGCAGTAGAAGATGGCCCAAGTGCTTGGGCCCCTGCACCTGCATGGGAGACCAGGAAGAAGCTTCTGTCTCCTGGCTTCGGATCTGCCCAGCTTTGGCCATTGGGGCCATCTAGGGAGTGAACCTGTGGATAGATCTCTCTTTCTCTTTCTCTTTCTCTCTGCCTCTGCCTCTCTGTGACTCTGCCTTTCAAATAAATAAATAAATCTTTAAAAAATTAGAAAAGAAACACTGGTTCATCTGCTCTCAACCTTCTCAGCAGATCCTCGCTATCCTGTAGAACCAGGAGGCCCACAGAAGTCAGCAAGGAGTTTCTGTTAAAGCACTGATCTACAGTGGGGCAAAGACAGGCAGCGCTGGTCTGGGCCAATGCCAGGAGCCGGGAACTTGATCCATGCTCTCATGTGGGGCCCAAGCACGGGGCCACCTTCGGCTGCTCTCCCAGGTGCATCAGCAGGGAGCTGGATCGGAAGCTCAGCAGCCTAGACTTGAGCCAGCACTCATATGGGATGCTGGCATTGCAACTGGCAGTTAACCCGCTGTGCCACAGTGCCAGCCCACCGAGTGTTCGCAGTATCATTTTAACGTACTTTTACCTGTGTGTGTGTGTGTGTGTGTGTGTGAACACAGCATATCTCTTGTGTTCCTGGCCTGCCTCCTGGCTAACCCACGTGGTGTCCCTGAACCTCCTTTCACACAACGCAGAGTATGCTTGCTGTTATAAAGCTCCGCCTGTTCTGAGCGCTCACAGAAGTTAGTGCACAGGCCCCTTCCAATCACCCCCTGGAGCGCCACTGTGACTACCTTACTGCAGAAGCAGTGACTGATTACAGAGAAGATAAGTGACTTGTCCGGTCACACAGCAGGATCTGGATCCAGTTAGCATGCCTCCAGGGTGTCTCCTAACCGCTGGAGGACCCGCCTCTTCAGGTCAGCCCTGGCTGGAGGAGGGGCTTCCGCAAGCGCTCAGAGGTGCTGCCCACTCTGGCAGGAAGGAAATGGAAGTGACAGGAAGGGAGCAGGATTCTTGCTGGGGCTTGGGCTCTACAGGGCTGCTCTGGAAGGGACGTGAACTTGGCTCCTGAGACTCTCAGACTGGTATTAAACTTGCACTCCCTGAGTGGGGTGATGCTAACCTAACAATGTACGAGCGACAGAGGGGCTCCTGGAGGGAGCACCAGCAGCTGGCCCTGCCCACCCGAGGGCACATCTGTGAGGCGGGGACATGGCCCCAGGGGCTCTGCGGGGACAGGTGCACTAGGAGGGCCACTGGAGCAGCCACCATTGGCAGTGGGGCGGGGGGTCTGCTCAATGCACCCCATATGTATCAGCTCACCTCATTCTCATACCCCCTGGGAGCAGGTTCCTTCGCCATCTTACGGAGAAGACAAGGGGTGGATGATGACCGCGAGGGCTCCTCATCCTCTTTATGGCAAGGAGCAGGGGGCACTGGATCGGCTCAGCTCTGCCCTGGTGGGGAGCTGCCCACGACCTTCTCTTGGGGGACACAAGCTGAGAGTGAGGTGTTCCTAGGTGCCAGGTCTGGCTATAGGGGTCTGGTGTTTCCTGGGCACTGCAGGGCCCCACCCAGGCCTGGTGACAAGTGTGTGTGTGTGTGTGTGTGTACAGCCCAGGCATGGGGCTGCCCAGGAAGGCCACAGTGGGCTGACGCTTTGAAGAACGCTCTGGGTGAGCGCATCTGGCCCCCAGATGACAGTCCCGTGATGACCAGGTCTCCTCAGCCACAAGCCGGATGACAGGTGTCAGGGGGCTGGCGACCTTAGGCTGCAGAGGGCGGTGGTGGGCACACACCCGCCCAGCCAGAGCAGTGAGGCCGGGGAGACCTCAGGGACGTGGGACGGGGCCTCGGGTACCTAAGAATTCTAGCAGCTCTGGGCTGCTGGCCAGCTCGGCGTCCTCGGAGACCCGGCGCAGGATCTCATCGAACACAGCTCTCCTCTCCCGGATGTCAGAGTCCCCAACAAACAGCACCTTCCGGGGGAGTGGGGGCAGGCTGGCCGCCGCGTAGCGAGCGCTCAGCTTCTGGTAAAACTCCTCAATCTCGCTATACTTTTTGGAGACCTGGAATGAGAGGAGCACGCGGTTTCCTGTATGCACAGTGAGACCCAGCCAGTTGTCCCACCGGAAGCGTGCCCAGGCACACCCACCTGCCATCCCCTGCCTGGTTCCCTGCCTCAGTTTCCCTCCCAGGCACTGATGAATGTCAGGGGCCCAAAGGAAAGACGCAGCCATGGTGTGATTCCAGGCACTGACACGGGGACCTGGCCCAGCCTGCCACTGTCCCTGCCTCCTTTCTGGACACCTGGTAGGCTGACGGTGCACCTTCCTGCCACAGCCCGTGTCACCCTCTCTCAGCACAGTCTCTATCATTCTCATGCAGCCGGCAGCGGCCCTCCAGTCCTGCCAAGCGGTACAGCCAAAGCTGGTCTCAGTCCTGCCGTAAGATCTTTGCAGGTGAAACTACCAGGCCCTGCTGCCGTCAGCAAGGTGCCGCAGGGCTGGGGCCGGCCCCTGCCCCCGCCCCTCCTAGAGAGCTAAGGGTTTCATGTCAGCGTTTCCAGCTCTTGCTGCGTCTTCAGTCTGCGATACAGGGACAGCAGGACGGGTCTCGGTGTCACGGGGTTGTCAGCCATGTCATGGCTGTGGTCTGTCAGTCTCCTCTCTGTGTGCACCCCCACCACGCCCACAGCCCCACCGTGCTTCCCCGTGCTCCATGGGAGGTCAAGGGTTAGGCACGGGGGACTGAGCAGCTGGACTATACTGGGCGTGCCCAGAGCGGGCACACTTGGCTGACCAGTGCCTGCCCCAGCACCCTCACAGGCACCACAGTGGGAGCCACGGGGGACAGGCGCTGCGGCACAGAGGCCCGGCTCTGGAGCTCCCCTGAGAACAGCCCTCAAGGAAAGGCAGGGGAGGCACTGCAGGGACTTCGGCCAGGCAGGCGCAGCGGCAGCAGTGTGGGCTGGGCGCCCCCTGCTGGCCTGACTGCTCCATGCAGGCGGAGTCCACACACCCCACTAAGGCCTAGATTCCAGGAGCCTCTGTCTCCAGTCACTGGCAGGACAGTGCACGGCAGCAAGTGGAGACCGAGGGAGACGCACTGAGTGTGGAGGGAGCCAGGGAATCTCACACCGACCTGGTGCCCCTGCGTGCTGGCTCTGCTGGGTGCTGGGCACGGTAACAGTGCCTGGAACCCTGCACATCTGAGAGGTGTGCGTGCCTGCACAGCTGCATACGCCAGGGTGTACACACAGAGCGGGGCTTCCTGCAGGCCGGCTTGACTCCGTGATGAGCAATGAAATGCGTGTTTATGCCACAGCACTCCCGTCTGTTGAAGGGGGACGTGCAAAGAGCCCACTAATTCTTTAGCTAAGCTGTGACATTTCAGAGAGGGTGCAGGCTCGGGCTACATCTCCAGAGCCCACGGGGAGGGAACACGTTTTTCCTTGTCCCGTGCAAGTACTCCAGGACATCCCCGCAGCAGGGGGCAGTCACAGCTGTCCTCTGCCGGCCCTTTGCATGCGACCTCGTGGGCTGGCCCTGTGCTTGTCAGTTCCCAGAATGCCCAGGGACACCAGTCTCAAACATCCTCCTGTCTGCTCCCGCCCCTGATGGGGGCTCCATCCTAAGTCAGACCAGCAGGGTGGCGACCATCCTACAGAGCCCGCCTCAGACCTCACCTACCCTCACAGCTGCGTTCCCACTGACAGTCTAGGGAGCCAGCAGTCAAACATCAGCACTGCTGCTTTAGGCACTGCCCACCGTGTTGTGGAACGTGCCTTACAGAAAGACTCACACCATTCAGTTCTCTTAGAACACGTTGTCTCTTTTAATAGGTTCCCAGAGCCATGCGATTCAGTTTCCCTTTTTGCCTTGGCCGCCAGGAGATTCAGAACCAACTGCAGCAAGTTGCCCCTCTCCCCACCTCAGGACTAGCTTTCACCTTTATCCTGACCATCTGCAGCCCCAGGCCCCAGCCAGCAGCCCCAGGCCCTTCCAACAAGAGTCTGAGGAGTAATGATGAGTGCATGACCTTGTCTACTCCTGAAACTCACTCCCCAGCTCCAGCCCCCAGGGCCCGGCTCTCCTCCTCTGCCTCTCCCTGGCTCCTGCTGGCACCCCAGGGTTCCTTCTTCGTTCTCCAGGCAACTCCATCCACCCCCAGACTGTGAAAATCACCTCTGAGCTGATGCCTCCCAAACCCTGCCTCCGTCCTGAGCGCCGGCCATGGGGTGGACACGTTGCACTCAAGCCCCGCCCCTCAGACCTGCCCTCCGCCTCCGCGACATTCCTCAAGTCAGTCGGGGGAAGCAGCGCGTTCTATGCACACTATGCTCCAGCACGCCATGCTCCCTTCCTCGCCGGCCGTAGCTGTTCTGCTCCAAGTCCTCCCTGGCCTCGAAACTCTTGGTTCCCTGTCCTCGGCCTTGTTCCTTCCAATCCAGCTCCACTCTCTAACCAGCCTGGCTGCTTAAAGGCAAAGGGGGGGGCCGGCGCCATGGCTCACTAGGCTAATCCTCCACCTGCGGTGCCGGCACACCGGGTTCTAGTCCCGGTCGGGGCACCGGATTCTGTCCCGGTTTCCCCTCTTCCAGGCCAGCTCTCTGCTGTGGCCCAGGAGTGCAGTGGAGGATGGCCCAAGTGCTTGGGCCCTGCACCCGCAAGGGAGACCAGCAGCCATTGAGGGGTGAAGCAATGGAAAAAGGAAGACCTTTCTCTCTCTCTCTCTCACTGTCCACTCTGCCTGTCAAAAAAAAAAAAAAAAAAGGCAAAGGGGACCATGCCACTTCCCTGCTTAAAACTCTTCCTTGACTGCAAGACAAGTCCAGGTGCAAGCTAGATCCCGCCCACCACTCACTGTCACCTCCCTCTTCATCCCAGGACCCTGCGCACCTGCTCAGAGTCCCTGAGTCACCCCCCCCCCCGACCCTGCACAAAACCTGTCCCGGCTGCCATGCCTTCAGCAGGGGGCGACACTTCTCCCCTGTTCCACTGCTCAGAGCTCACCTCTTCCATGAAGTTCAGTACCGTTCTCCACATCCCGACAGCCCACCACGTGCTCTTGGTTACTGCCGTGTCTTTCCAAGTCTGCGTCTCCACGGACCACAGCAGCTGTGGCTCAACCACACAACACGGTCTGGCCCTCCTGGGCCCAGCACCGGTGTTGGAGAGAGAAGTGCCTGATGCTACTCAGTGTGTCTCCTCCCTGGGTCCCTGGACCATGAGCAACTTCACAGCCTCCGGGCTGGAGACCCCCACTTACCAAAAACTGGACGACGTCCTCGGGCCTGTGCTTGGCTGACTTGAATGCAGCCAGCCGGGTCACCACCAGGATCTGGTACTCCACGTGGCCGGACATCATCTTACCACGCACCTCCTGGTGCTGGGGCACACTCAGGTCGAGGCCTGTGTGGGCATTCTGAACGCGCCTGCGCAGGGAAAGAAGCCGAGTTCAGATCCGAGTCCCAGGTTTCCCAAGTGAGGTGCCGGCAGGACCCACGAGGCTGGCCCCGCCACCTGCCAGCCCCTCTTACAGCCTGACTGTCCTGGCTCCAGGCGTGGGTGCTGCCTTTGGGTTGCCCCCAGCTCAGACAAGGGTGGGGCTGGAAGTTGAGGAGCAGCTCAGTCTCTTACTAAAGACACAGGCCAGGAGCCTTGCAGACTCCGGGGGCATGGGGCCCTGGGCGCTGCTCACCCAGAGAAGGGGCCCGGCTCCTGTGTGGGTAACGCTGCCATGAAACCCACCAGGGCTGCAGAGAGAGAGATAGAGAGGAGAGAGAGAGAGAGAGAGACGCAGCTCCTCAGCCAGACAGAGGGCAGCCAAGCTGCCAGGGAGCCTGCGAGGCTGGAGGTGGGTCAGGCCGCGGAGGCAGGGCTGCCTGAGCCCCGTTTTCCCCATCTGGGCAGGCGAGAGCCCCCTCCAGGCTGCAAGGGTGCACCTGCTGCCCAGCACAGCTCTGGGGACTGGTCAGTGCTATCCACGTGCACTGGGCGGGGCCGTGAGCAGAGCCGCTGCCAGAGGCTTCCTCCAAAGAGAGAGAGGCAGGACCCAGCAGGATGGAGGGCAGACCCCAGCAGGACGCGCTGGCACGCTGAGGCCGAGACCTACTGTGTGCCGGGCAGGCCTTTCAGCGCACGGGGTGGGCTGCAGCCCTGAGTGGGAGGGGCTTTGGGGGCTAAAATGGCACCTAGGGCAAGGTCCTTTGCTTTCTGGAACCAGGACCCCACCCTCTCCATGCCCTCCCCAGCTGAGGAGGCCCTGGGCGAGCCGCCCGCAGCTGCCAACTGCAGAGACCTGTGCACGCAGGGTGAGGCCCACCTGCGGGCACCAGCGGCTCAGGATGGCCCGGCTGGCCGCCCCAGCGAGCTGCGGGAGTGTGGCGGGGGCCCCGTGTGTGCTGTGAGGTTGCCAGACAGCGGCGCTCCCGGCCTGACACTGGGACAGAGGGTGTGCCTGTGGCCTGGGGCTGCTCCGTGAGACTGGATGCCCTCAGAGCAGGAGGCATCCACTGCAGACTTCATCTGCGCCCAGTCACTCCTGCCTGGCGCAGCCCTGCACCTGCATGGGAAACGGCCGCCCCAGGTCGCGCGGGCACGAGTGGAGACAGGACGCAATCCCGGGCAGGTGCCTCAGGGCACAGGTGTCCTCCTGCAGGGCTGATGAAGACCCTAGGGGGATTTCTCAGCATCATCATGGAAAAGCCACACTGGGCGGCGGTGCCAACCAGGAAGGCGCATGCGCAGGAGGGGAAAGCAGCCGGCAGGGGGCCCTGGACCTCCCTGACCAGCACCAGGAGCCACAACCCCTGGTCCTGCCACATTGCACCTGAGTGGCACAGACCCCACCCACTGCCTCAGGCTTCGACTCCCTTGACCTCTGCTGCAGGGCTGAGAAGCTGAGCCCCCTGGCGACAGCTACACACACAGGCCAGGTGGTCACCCCAAGGCTGTCGCCGGCCCAGCAGGCCTGGCAACCCTACCTGGCCCTAGACATGTAGATCTGCACATGTGGTCCCCGGCCCTCCATCAGCAACAACAGGGAACTTGTCAGAGAGGCACACTCTGGCCACTGCATCGGCAGTGGGAGCACAGACTGATTCTCCCAAGCCCGCCGGGGAGCCTACTCACCTGCGCCTAATGCATTCCCACTCCACCCCCCTGAACTCCCAGAGTACCTCAGGTGCTGAGGGCCACCTGGTCTCTGTGGCGCTTACTCCGCTTGGCTGCTGGAGCATGGGGGGCAGCCGCAGTCACCCATACACATACACACACACACACACACACACACACACCCTGCAGTCACACAACCCCGGCTGGGCAGGATTTGTTTGCCCACTTGTGCCCGGGCGCAAGCGTGTCAAACTGTCACATGTCTACAAATCCCCTGGGCCTGGTTGAGCTGCAGATTCTGACTCCACAGGGCCCCAGGGTCTGCCTTTCTGATCAGCTCTAGGGACAGCCTGTTGAGTAAGGAGACGTGCACCCTAGACCTCCCTCAACCCTTAGCTAAAACCCAGCACCTGCTCCCCACTGATGCTCCTGCTCCCAACGTCACTGAGGAAATGGGAATTACTGGACCAGGTGGTGCGTCCCCAGCACAGCCACCAATCAGCTGGCACCTCCTCCCCATCCACTGGTCTCTCCTGGGGCATGGGCAAACGGGCTGGCTCCTCCTAAGGTCACGCCCTCTGCTGGGGCAGTGAGTCCTGGCCCCTGTCGCCGTCTCAGGGACGTTGCTCCTGCATGTCCCCCTCTCTTCTCTGCCCAGTTTCCCCACCTTGCCAGTCAGGATCAGCACGTGACCACCCTCTGTCCCCACACATCCCCCAGCTCTGTCTCTCCCCGCCTTGCCAGCAGACCTGAAAGTGCTCTCCTCCTGTTTGATCTTAAACTCACCCCAACCAGACTCCTGTCCTCACCATGAAACAGAGACTGCCCGTGCCCAGGCCACGCATGCCCTCGTGGGGTTAAACCCCGAGGAGAAGTCTCACTTTTTCTTGGCTCAGTAACATTCACAGCAGCGGCTCACTCCCCTCCTTCAAGCTCTGTCACTGGTGCTGGCGCCCGGCACCCCACTCTCTCTTGGCTCTTCTCTGCCCTCCCCAGCTACTCCTGCTCAGCGTCCCTGGGTAGTCCCCCCAGTCCCCACCCCGATCTCACCCACGGGACCCACCTTACACCTCGTCACTTAAGGCTCCGCTCCCCAGATCTCATCCATGTCCAAGGCCTCACACACCGACAGGCCCATGGCTCCCAAATTCCAGTCTCTAGTCCAGACTCTCCCCGACATGCCCACTTGGAGCTGGGCAACAGCTCCTGAAAGGGACCACATCTGGACAAATGCCCACTCCCACCTTCCCCTACACCTGCTCCCCGCCGTCTCCCAGCCCACCATTCTTTGAGCAACACAGGACAAGAGCCTTGTGGTCAAAACCTCTTTCTGGGCCTCCTCATCAGCAAGTCTGAACGCCTGATCTGCAGAATACACCCAGAACCCAACCCAACACTTCTCACCCGACCCATCGACCGCCAGCCCCAGGGGCCAAGCCACCATGGGCTCTCCGTGGATTCGGGCAGCCCCTCCTGATGGCTCTGCCCAGCCGCAAGCCAGGTCAACACAGCAGCCGAAGGGTCTTTGTGCAGCTCACACGGCCACTTGCCCGGGATGTCCTGTCACTCTCAGGATGAAATCCACGGGCTTGTCGTGGCCTGCAAGGCCTTTCCTGACAGTCCCCTGCTCCCAAGCCCACCTGCTCACCACGTCACCTACTACGCTCCCCCAGCTCACCGCACCCCAGCCACCCTGGCCACAAGCTCCTGCTGCCTTCTCTGTCCAGCGGCCAGCCTGTTGGAGGGACACCCCCTGACCACACCTGACACAGCACGCACGTCTCCTGTCACTCTTCAGAGCATCTGTCATCCCTGACACCACACCTGCTGGCCATGCTGCTGCCCCAACCCAGGCTCCACATCCTAGAACCTGGACCAGCCCGGGGCACAGAGAACTGACGAGCACCTGCTGGCTGATCGCATACCTGAGTGCAGGTGGGGATGGGTGGTGGGCGGAGGCCAGGCTGGAAACAGGTGCCAGGCTGGCTGCGGAGTGCACACCTCACCGCTGGACTGCTGCCCCTGCACTCCTGCAGGCAGGCTCCGATCACCTGGCCTTCGCTAAGCAGGATGGGCAGTGTGGGGGAGCCCCTGCCCACCCCACTTCCCAAGAACCCAGCCCCAAAGTCATAGCCCAGGATCTGCAAGTGGCTGGGAGGAGTGTCTGCTGCCGGTAGCTGTCAAGTTCAAGGCTGCAACTGGCACAGAAGGAACAGGCTCAGCGAGAGGAGGTTGACTCCTGCAGCCCCCCTCCATCACGGAGAGCAGACCGGGTCCGCTCTGGGTACCCTACTTCCCCACATCTGAAGCCACGGGGATCTCCTGTGCCCGCTGGGTGGGTAACACATCCATCTCCACAACAAATCGGCGCGCTGGCCCGAGGTTTCCGAGCAAGTGTGGAGCACACGCCAACACTTGACTAGTGAGTCCAGTAGTGAGTCCTGGGCGGGGCAGTGCCAGGACCGTCTTGCGCTGGGTCCCCCCAGGCCCGGGCCCAGGTGCCCCCGCACCGCCTGCTCTCCCTGGGGCCGTCAGACCCTCACTTCTCCCGAGCCACCTCCTGCAGCAGCCGCAACGCCTTCCCCTCCATGCGTCCCGCAGGAAGCCCGGGTTCCTCGCCGGCCTGTGTTCCCACGGCAACCTGAACTTTCTGCTCGCCCGGGGCACCTGCCGGGCACGCGGGGAGCTCGGGGAGGGTGTGTGTGTCCAGGGCTGCGGGCCCTCCAGTAGCGAGGGAAGTCCGAGACGCCCTCTGCCCTGCCCGGAAGCGGCCCGTCCCAGCCCTGTGCCGGGTCCGGGGTGAGTCCCTGACGCCCTGGGGGCCTCCGTGTCCCGATCCACACAATGGGGACCCTCGCAGCGCGGGATCCCGCTCACCTGCAGGTTACGAGTACCGCCGGGGACTGCATGACGGCGGCGGCGGCGGCGGCTGCGGCGGCTGCGGGCGGGGCGCGCGGTCACGGGACCCGGCGGCGCGGCAGCGTTGCGTCCCCGCCCCCCGGCGTCTCGGGTGGGGCTGCGGCCGCCTGGGAGACGCCTCTCCCCGGCCCGGCCCGGCGCTCGGCTCCGCCCCCGCCTCCGTGTCGTCACGAGCCACGCCCCCTGCCCGCTGGCTCGTTCCCCAAAGTTCCTGGCTAGCAGAATGAAATGTTCATTGTGGTGCGAAACGCACACCTAAAAAGAAATTGAAAATCATACACAGCTTTTGCATAATATTCATCTTCATTAAGTCTATGAACGCCCCTCCTATGCATGAACTGCAAAACGTTTTTGCACCAAAATAAACGCTACCTTTTCACTTCATTTGCCAGTTCGGAAAGCTCCCTGTTGCTAAGCTGAAGCTCCGGGTCCTCTTTCCTGCCCTGGCCTGCAGGATCCGTCCCTTTCCTGCGTCTGCTCACTAGCTGCACCTGGCAGGCACTCTTCCCCACGGGGGAGAGTCAGACACTTGCTGGGGGCTGGCAGAGGTTCCTGACCCTTGGCCTGCCCCCAGCTGGGCCCAGGGCAGTGGAGCAGGGGTCTGCTTGCCTGAAAAATGGCCTTAGGTATAGAGGCGTGCAAATGTAACAGACCCGTGCATAACATGCTCAAGTCTCTCCACGGGTGGGAAAGAGGGGGATGGTACCGTCACCTGTCAAAGTGGCCCAGAGAAAGGCGCTGTCTGGAAGCAGGGCCAGGAAAGGCACCCAACAGCTGTGCCTATTTCATTGTCCTCTCCCTGGGGCTTCACTGTAGGACAACTCTTAGAGTAATGTTGGCCACTGGGCTGCGCGTGCACACACACACACACACACACAGTGCCTGCCACCATCATCATCACCAACATATCCTACAGTGGCACATTCTGGAAAGTGGCTTTCCCCAAAGTTGCTCTTGAATGAGCACAGCCATTCTCTCTCTCTCTCTTTTTTTAAAGATTTATTTATTTTACTTGAAAGTCACAGTTACACAGATAGAAGGAGAGGCAGAGAGAGAGAGGTCTTCCATCTGCTGGTTCACTCCCCAGATGGCCACAAAGGCCAGAGCTGCGCTGGTCTGAAGCCAGGAGCTTCCTCCAGGTCTCCCATGCCGGTGCAGGGGCCCAAGGACTTGGGCCATCCTCCACGGCTTTCCCAGGCCACAGGAGAGAGCTGGGTTGGAAGTGGAGCAGCTGGGACTAGAACCTGCGCCCTTAAGGGATGCCAGCACTGCAGGCAGTGGCTTTACCCGCTACACCACAGTGCCAGCCCCAAACACAACTGTTCTTGTTTTTTTTTCTTTCTTTCTTTTCTTTTTTTTCTTTTTTTTTTTTTTTTTTGACAGGCAGAGTGGACAGTGAGAGAGAGACAGAGAGAAAGGTCTTCCTTTGCTGCTGGTTCACCCTCCAATGGCCGCCACGGCCGGCGCGCTGCGGCCGGCGCACCGCGCTGATCCGATGGCAGGAGCCAGGAGCTTCTCCTGGTCTCCCATGGGGTACAGGGCCCAAGTACTTGGGCCATCCTCCACTGCACTCCCTGGCCACAGCAGAGAGCTGGCCTGGAAGAGGGGTGACCGGGACTAGAACCCGGTGTGCCAGCGCTGCAAGGCAGAGGATTAGCCTAGTGAGCCGCGGCGCCGGCCCCCAAACACAACTGTTCTTACGCCTCGCTGATTTTGCTTGGAATTTGTTTCTACAGTGGAGGGGCGATCGTGAGCAGGAGGATGACTGAATGGGGTGATGGCTGCTGACCGCTCCTGCTTGCTGGCCTGTCGGCAGGGCAGGGGCCATGGGAGCCACGGACACGTCACACTTTAGGGGAAGGACGTTGAGGGTCTGGGCATGGAACTGGGTGATGGGGCTGAGCATTCCAGGAGTCTGGGCAGCGCGCTGGGCGGTGGATGGAGCTGGTCGTGCTGCACAAACATTCATCCAAGACACACACGGTGTGTGGGTGCTAAGAGTCCACGGTGAACAAGGCCAATGTGCTTCCTCGCCCTCAGGCTTGGGGGATCTGAAAAGACTTTGAAAAGGAACCAGTGTGCAGGGGAAACCCGCAGAAACAAGAAGCGATCGCGCAGATCGAGCAAAGCTCCAGAGAGCAGAAAGCCCGCAGCAGGGAATCAGGGGACAGGGCAAGCTGGAGCCAGGCCAGGGGGACCTGAGGCCATCAGGGAGCGGCTGTCCCGCTGTGCCCCGGGCAGTGCTGTGGCGCACGGGACCCTGCAGGCGCGAAGTGCAGCAGAACAACCCAGCCTGCAGGTGATGGTGGCAGAGGCTGGAGGGACGGCTGCCCAGGTGAGGAGGAGACAGGTGAGGAGACAGACGGAAGGGAAGGGGTGGGTCCAGACTCCAGCGTGGGAGGGGCGGGTGGGAGGAGTCGAAACGCAGCTGTGGCTCCGCCCTGCGAGTGGCTGGGCACCCGGGGGAGAGCAGGTTTTTGGTGAGGTTGTGAGTTCTGTTTCCGACCGGTGGTGTTTGAGGGCTTGGGGCTATGGGGACGATTGGCCCCAGGGAACCGAACCCGGGCTGCCGACTCAGATGTGGGAATCAAGGGCGGCAAGAAGACAGTGAGCGCTGAGGGTTGGGGGGAGCCCGCGGAGGAGACGGACAGGGAGGCCAGCGATAAGCAGGGCTGCAAAGTTGGGGCCTCCCCAGCGCTGCTGGGGCCGGAGCTCGCCTGTACCCTGTGAGCACACGAGGTGCGCCTCACCCCGGTTCCTCTGCCGGTTGCTGTGCCGGGCGTGGGGCACAGGCGCCCTCGGCGCACCTGGTGCCTGCCCGGAATAAGCCGGCGCCCTGTGAAAGACAGCGATCCCCTTCTGCTCTCCAGTGCGTAATTGGACACAATGCATGGAATGTGGGCTCAAAATCTGATATTTTCTGCTTGCTGCTTAACTCGAGGAACCCCTTCCACGGCTGAGGCCACAGTAACACAAACCACATTGCAAACGACGCGTTCTGTTCCTTCCTGCCCTGCTGCCCTGGGTGGACTGCGCCAGGCCGCCGTGTCCACCAGGGGGCAGTGTGGTCCGTGGGAGGCAAACTTAGTCCCCAGGGTGAATGAGCTCTGGCCAAGCCCTGCTGTGACAACTCCCTGGCTTCCTGAGGGGCTGTGTCCTGGGGAGCACCCGGTTTATCCCCATCTCTTAATATGATGCTGTGGGCTGAGCTCCTGGGGTCTGGGCACCCCCACACAGAGCAGGGCCATCACCGGGCTTGCACTCAACAAACGCTCATGGGCACAGCTCTGGGCCTGGTACCTCGCCAGGCCCCGGGGGCCGGGATGGGGGCAGAAGGAGACACAGGTGCATCTAGTGGGGCCCGAAGACTGCCCAGGGACCTCTGGAGACTGGGACACAGGTGCAGGCCCTGGGTACCGCGGGTGCTCAGTGGAGGGCACATAACTAACTCAGCCTGTGTTGGGGCATACAAGGAATCCTTCCAAGAGGTAGTCCAGGCCATGAAAACTAGGTGTTATGCCCCCTTGCGCCTTGATTTTCTCACTGGTGAAATGGGTATACCAGAAACTAATTTGTTGTAAAAGGAATATGAGATAAAATGCAACTGAAACAAGAGGAAATACATGGCAGGCATGTAGACTAATTAAACAAAAGCTATTCCCAATGGCCTAGCTCTTTTTTTTTTAAGATTTATTTATTTATTTATTTATTTTAAAGGCAGAGTTGCAAAGAGGTAGAGATGAGAGAGAGAGAGAGAGAGACATCTTCCATCCACTGGCTCACTACCCAGATGGCTGCAATGGCCTGAGCTGAACTGATCCGAAGCCAGGGTCTCCCACGTGGGTGCAGGGCCCAAGGACATGGGCCATCTTCTGCTCCTTTCCCAGGCCATAGCAGAGAGTGGGATCAGAAGTGGAGCAGCTGGAACTCGAACCAGCACCCATATGGGATGCTGGCACTGCAGGTGCTGGCTCCCCTCCTCTTGTTTTCACTACCAAAGAGGTTGGGATGGTAAAACCCAGCTTCTCCCTTACATTTAGAAGGGGCCAAATGACAGGATTCTGTCCATATATGCAGAAGTCCCTGTGGAGGGTTTTCCTTGGTAGAGAAAACTCTTTGCCCTTTCCTTGTCTGCTTTCCACAAATAGGATAGAATTCTGGTGACACAGCAGCCATATTGTGAGTATGAGGCATAACCATGAGTTTGGGGCTTACACATTAAAGACAGAAGAGCCTGGGGAATCCAATGTCATACACACTACCAAACCATCTCTAGTCTCTCTCTCCAGGTGTCTTGCATGAGTGCCTAAGCCAGTCTAAGTGGGTTTTTCTGCAACAGAGTTCTTGCTGCTATAGTTGTAAACTGCTCACATAAAAACTGCTCCGTACGGGGTAGAGAAAGATATGAGACAGGCAGTGACGCAAAGCCAGGGCGTCTTGGAGAGCCAGAAATGTAGCTGTGGGGCTGGGCTGGAAAGGCAGGTGTGGGGCAGGAGGCCCTGAAGGAACGGCTGCCATGCAAAGCATTTACATTTGGTCCCCGAGAAGTAAGAGAGAAACACAGGGACAAGGGGATTTCAGGGAGGGGACTGGGTGTGGGGAGCCGCTTCCAGCAAGGCTGGAGCATCAGGTAGGAGAGGCAGTGTCAGGCAGAGACCAGGCCTGGACAGCAACGGCGAGAAGAGACGCGACTGCCGACTACCGCAGCAGAGAACTGGCGTCAGTTCCCAGTAGAGCACCGGCCAGTGGGTGTTGCCATCAAGGAGCGGTGGGGGTCAGCGCCTGGAAAACAACAAAAGGGAAACAGCAAGGCCCAGAGGATTCTGGCCAAGCCCACCTGGCAGGATCCGTGCTGAAGGCAGGCCTGGGAGGCCAGATGGCGCGCTCTTTCTCTGTTTCTTCGAGTCCTCCCACCCCCGAGACAGGTGAGAGGTGGTTGTGGACATCCCAACACTTCTGCATCCTCACAGCCACGTGAGGGTGCCCTGGGGGTGCTCAGGAACCAGGGAGCAGTGCAACACTATCGTCTGCTGTACCTCTGCTGTACCCTCCACGCTCCCCTCTCCCACTGCTCGGCAA